AAAATTGGGGAGAGCTCAGGCAAGTTCCTGGCCTCTTTCCACCATCTTTGAAACTTCCTGATCTTTAAGGAGAGATGGAAGAGGGACGACACTCGACTCTACTGGAATACCTTTGACAACTGGGGAATGACTTAACAAATTGAATATAATGTGAATATAATGGAATATTGTGCCCCAAGAAATGACAAAAAAAAAAGATGATTTAAGAGATTCCTGGGTAGGATAAACTGGTGCAGAGTTAAATGAACAATTTATACACCAATAAGAATGCTATTATTACAGCTTATTTCAGATCTGGATATTCACAGCTTAAATATATTCATCCCTAATCCCTTCTCCCACACCACTGAATACACAGGAAAAGTCTGACTTAATGGGGCCAAGCAATCCCCCCCCAAAAAAAAAAATTTTATATATTTTCACTAATTCTACCATGAATCCAAGTCCTAAAAACCTAACTTCTCCCTGAGCTCCCTCCTTTATAACATTAGTGGATAGGGCTTACATGCTACATGGTTAAATATTATGTATTAAGCCAAAATTGCTTTTTGAATGAATGAAAATGTACAGGCTGAACAGCATGGATTTTTTTAAATGTCTCAAGCATGAGGCAGATGTATTTATTTAGAGTGAAAAAATGGAAAAGTCCTTAAAAGCCAACTTAGGGTGTTCTGTCAATATGGAAAACAATGAAATTAATTTTTAAAAGAAGTATTCATTTGGAGTTTTATTTAAGTTGATTTGACTGTCAAAAAGCTTTTCCTAACTTTTGACAGCTGGCTGGTGAAGCTTATCAGCTTAAGGTGGAGAAAAAGTTTTAAGTACTACCAAGAAAGGATGAAGATACTTCAGGCTATGATCCAGCAAGATCTGAGAATGCCACAAAGCAACCAATATCCACACTGTCACCATTCTAAATAGTGCTGAATGAATGTTGTTTACCATCCTGACAGTACCCTTTCCCAAAAAACAACTCCAAAACATCAGCTATGCAACATGTGGAAAGGTCATATTTTATTATGAATATCAGTATAATGTTAAATATTCCAATACAAGTACTCCTGTCAGTAAACATTTTCCCAGAAAGACAGCTTCAATCAACATTCAAAGCACATCACATTCAGTAGACCCTATATTTTTCTAAATCAACAAAGTTGTTAGTAGACTATATAACCTTATATCCTAGATGAAATGATACAGTAAAACCCCAGCTATTAAAAACCCTTTTAATAGAGCTGAAGATTTACCCCTTTTGATACCAAATTTTCATTTTAATCTTTATTTTCCTACCTTCAATATGGAACACAATTTAATCTGATGGTTCAGCATTATCATGAACATCTATTGTACCGTGCTATAAGTATATTAATGATGGGGGGGGGCTGATGGATTAAGTAGAAGTAATGGTTTTATCAGACTGATCTGAATTTCTCTCTATTTTTGCTAGCAGTGGGCTTAGCTGTAGTGGTTCCCTCTTTCCTATATCTCTTTTAGAAGTATAAAAAAAAATTTGGGGAGGTTAGAAACCAGTTAACCAAGCTTATCAGATGTGTGCGAGAGAAATGGGCTGAAGGACTCACTGATATAATGGGATTTGGGGAATCTTATTTTGGGTACTCAGGTAGCCTTTTTAGTGAGGCTGCCAGATAGCAAAATTCCAGATAGATAATACTAAGTTCTACTTGAATCTATTATAAGGCCGTGCATTTAGTGGTTCCACTCTGACATGGAGACTAGAGCCTTGAAGTAAGAAATGAGACTGTCTCAGAAATGTCTTAATAAACAGTCTTATCAGTGTAGAAAAGATTTCAGAATTATCTTAAATGTACAATGTAAACTTCAATCACTTCTTAATAGAGCTGACATTCTAGATAATAAATTCTATCATATAAAGGCCTAGTTTCAAATCCCAGATTGTTGTAGGTCAAGATTTGAGTAAAAGTAAAATGCTTTGGTGTTGCTAAGAAACTACTAATATTTTAAGAGGAAGTAGGATAGAGCATAAGATTCTCAAAGTTCATTTTTTCAAGTTCAGTCCCAGCTTTGTATCTCTGTCATCTTCTGAATAAGAGCTGGAAAAACAACCATATGCCTAAACATAAAGAAAAAAGTAACTATTTGTTACATGTCCTCTTCTTACAAAATCAGGTAGCTTAATAATGTATAGGCTACTAAAATAAGTTTCCAAATAGAAGAGTTCTCAGAGGTACTGTAGTAGGAATAAACTTTGAAGTGGAACTAATAAGACTGGGAACTCTAGCCTTTGAAACTGGACATGATGTCAAGAGGGGAAAAAACATACAAAAGGCTTCATGGTAGAGAGCTTATGATTTGGCATCTGAAGACCTTGGTTTAAATCCTGGTGCTACCCACTTGCCTTGTGGCAAGTATTATCTCTCTGGGCATCCGTCTCCTTTGTAAAATGAGAGGCATGAAACTTCTAAGATCCCTTCCATCTTTAAAATTCAATGATTTATATAGTCTAATAATAAGTTATACATGATGAAATTCTTACTTCATGTTTGAAATATTTGTATTTACTTTGAAAATACATTCCCATGGGAATGGTCAGAATTGATCATTTCCTTAAAGACTCCCTCTCCCACCTACCTCTTCATTTTTGATTACTTTAAATCTTTGGAGGAATTTTAAGAACCTAATAACAGAGATATTACTTCGTTCCACAAACCTACTGAATAATATTGAATGCAAGCTTTAAACATAATTAAAATAGCCACTCAAATTAGAGACAGTACCTTAACTGAAGAAGTCAACTAATTTGTTCTTGTAAAGTACTAGAGACTAAGATTTGTTAACAATACAAAGATATTAAATCAAAGCTGGAAGAGATCTTACCTTGCCACTGAAATTTAGCCCTTTTAAAGGGTTTTAGCAGCTTAGCCAAGGTCAAACGCTTAAGAGAGGGAAAAAGAAATACAAGAGGTGCAATTGGGAATAAGCAAAGATGTACTGTGGAAAAAGCTGTCATGTTTAATTCTATCAGATCATTACCAGGCTACCTTTTCTAGTCTTTAAAGGTAGGCCCATTTTGATTTACTTGTTTATCCAAATATTAGCTTTGATTTTCATTTCAGAAATGAGAAATTTTCCTATTTTCACATTTGATCAAGGTCAACTTGTTTTTAGCAATAGCTCTCATTTTAGAAGCAGGTACAAAGCCTACCTTATCCATGGCAGCTTATGGAGGAAAATAAAAATGTGAAAATATAACTAGACTAAGCCATTCAATTTGCCCTGATTCTCTGTTTATGATGAAGAAAATAATTAACCAAACACTTTAAGAATAAGATATTTTGATTGTTTTTATTTTAAAAAGGTTTACCCATTCAGTACTGGAAAAAGTCTAAAATAGTAGTCTACTTAACTTGCCTCTGTGTAGTAATAAAGGTATATAGGGGACTGGTTGAAATCTATACTGAGGCCAAGAAATACCCTGGAAGATGTTAGAATAAATCCCTGAGATTCATATGCTTTGTGATTGACTTCTCCCTCAAAGGCAACTCCTACCCCCACCCCCACCCCCCCCTTAATCCCCAAAACCCCTTGCCCAAAAAAAAAGTATATTTGAGTGTCTGGTTAATCAGGATTTTATGGCACTAATTCACATTACAGCAACATAGTTCTCACAGCACCATTTGAGAATTCTAAAAGGCCATGGGAAGCTAAATTTTAAGTTTGCTTTCAAAAAAACAATTGCTTGCCATTGTGCTACCTACAATATCTAAAGATATGATAGGCCTTAGTAACCGGATTCCTTCAAATTATTAACAGCACACTGACTAGCTATTACTTTAATTACTGGCCTGTTAATAGCAAAATGTCACAACAATAATTCCAAAAGAGGCCTGAACATATTAGGGGACGGGACACTTATTTACCAAATCTACTAAAATATCTGGCCCATCACTAGAAAAAAGTGTGTTCCCAATTATTCAAATCCCATTAAAATCAATTCTAAGGGAATGCCCAAATTCTGTTGCTTAAGAACAGGCCATAAGCTGAGATTTGATAAACTTTTTGTTCTAATGGAATTTTGTTGCAGTGAAATTTGATTTATATAGTCTAATAAAAAACTAAAATGTATTACATTAATGCTGTGACCCAAAAAGTCATTATCATTCCTTGTGGAATGGGGAAAAAAGGAAGGAAAAAGGCACTGATTTTCCTTTTAGTGCGATACTGGTGTCTCCCTGTATCAAGTATAAAAAGTAGCCCTATTACTGATTTCTTAATGCAACTGTGTTGGCACTGAAATTCAGGTGTGGAAGAGGATATAAGTGACTAGGAAAACAGAATGAAGTGACATTTACAACCAGAGCCCAGGGTCAGTGTATTTACCCTTCCATTCATTCCCCCCCTTCCCTCCCTTTAGTCTTTCATTAGGTTACAACCAATTTTCAAGTATTAATGAAAAATAATGTATAAGCCAGGGGAAAATATACAGATTCAAATACATCTCTTTGCCTTGTCACAGAAAGCACATTTTAAAAAGTAAGCTGCACTTAGGATACTTCCAATAGTTAACCCATTTTCAGATATTTATGGCCAAATGTATTACTGGAATTTAGCATAATGATTTATCCCTGGCATGGCTTTAAAACAAAACAAAAAACCCTAAGAAACAAATTTAATTTTTACCAAGTGATAAAAATGTTCAAATCTTTGTTCATGCCAATAACTAACCTTCAAAAACTCCCAAACTTTTTCATTCTACTCAAATTTACAATTCTGCAGCTAAAAGTGTAAACTGCAGTTAGGTGCCAGTCAAATCCTACCACTGCAATCAGGTGAAAAATTGCTTCAGGACCAGAAAACAACTCAGCCAAGTTTTAAACAGTAATACTAAATCATTGATTATTTGAGATAAACTTCATTCTCTGAGAACTTCCAGTTCCTTCACTTAGGTAATGCTTGCATTTCAAATGCTAATTTTATCCATTCACTGCACAAGCCCATCTGCACATTAAAAACAAACAGAGTAGAAGTAAATGTTTTATTTTTCCAACTAAATTCCAGTACTACAAGGGCAGTAAAACAATGATACACTGGAAAAAAAAATGCAGCAATAAACATTTGTTAAAGACTGATAGAATAAATAAAAACTACAAAAACAAGAAATCATATAAACCCATTCTTAACCCCCCCAAAAGTCCTGGAATACAGAAATGCTCTCCTTCACTACTTCACAGATAGTACTGCGGGCTATTTGCTTAATTGTCCTGGGATTACATTCTAAGTTATTAATGATGGGTTACAGCTTGGTTGCAGTGCACAGTTATTAAAACCACACTAGTTTCAATCCGAAGTGTCATTCTACTTTTATTTACACAACCAATGAAGGGCATTTTCTAGAACACCAGCTTTAATCTTTTTCAAACATATCATTAACATAAGAAGCCAAATTGTAATGATACAGCAAATGAGGCCACTGGTATTAATACAGGTAGCAACAGTCCACATCCAGGTGGTATTGACATCAGGGAGCACTCCAAAATCAGTTGCTGCCTAAGTGGTTGCCACTGACAAAAGCTTGAAATAACCTGTGTTCACAGGGGAAGGGGGAGAAATATGGCATTGCTGCAAGTCTTAACTGGGACCACTTGCAACAACTCAACAGGGAACTGGGCAGCCCACAAATGCAGGAAACGTGATTCATGAAACATCTGAGGAAAAAAAGAAGAAAATTAATGGTATGATTTTTCCCAAGAAAACAGATAATTTCAAATAATTAACATCTGTAATAAAACATACTACCCTCACCCCATTGAGATATTTAAGTATTAAAAATAAAATCCTATAAATGTGTGTTTTAAATTAAAATATCTAAATACTTACAACTAGCAGGCTGTTCTCCATATCGTCGCATTATCTGATCATGCGTAAATTTCACAAATGCATCATATTGTTCTACAAATAGATTAAGACGTGAACATGTCAAATTGTAATAATTTACAAAATGAGGCTTCCCAGGTCAATGTATTTTTCCCCTTCTTTCCTCCCTTTGATCAAATCTTGTGCTGCAACAACTCTAAATAACAAAATTTGAATTTCTATAATAAATAAATAGTGGTGACATGCTATCATGAAAGGGCATGTTGTTAGCTGGGAGCAAGCCATGTGGGCTTGTGCAAGCAGCAACCCCTCTCAGCCTAAGATTTCTTCTGTGAAATCCTAGGACTAGAGAACCTAAGTCCTCTGAGTGTTAATGATATGTTCTAAATGAGCTTTACTAAACAAGTATTTCCTATAAGCCTACAGCCAAATATTTTTATATCTATATATCTCTATCTATCTATATCTCTATCTATTTATATAAAAAACTTAACTGTTACAGGTTAGCATTAGTCACTATGGTCATGAAAACCAAAAAGCAGATCAACTTTTGCCCTATTTTCTATAGATTCATATCTTTTTTTGGAATTCTCACCAGTTCTTTTTAAAAAAATCTATTAACAGTTTAGAAAATGCCAACATTAACATTTCGAGTACCTGAGAATGAAGTATTTCACTTGCATATGCTTTCCAGAGCCAAGAGAGCATAAGCTTAATTTATAGGAAAAATGTAACAAGCAGACATACCTGCAAGTTTTGTGGTCAATATTTCTTCATACTCTTCACGAACCTTCTCTTCACGTTCTTTCAGCAAACGTTCACAGATCATCCCAACCTGCCTTAGAGTAAATAGGGGCTGTTCTTTTTTTAATGGTGATGATGCTGTAGATGAAGTGCCTACATATAATGTATGAAGAAAAAAAGATATAATTCAGAACCACAACCATAAACAGAACCTTAAGTGCAAGTAGGCCCTAGTTCTAACCGGTTGCCAACTTACTTGTGGTGTTAATCATTTTTGGACTAAATACCTTGAGGGTTTTCTAAGTTCCATATGTTGTTGGGGTTTTTTGGTTTGTTGTTTTAGCTATTAAAGATTCAATTCTAGAGCCTTTTATTTCCTATACACCAAAATAATGGCTGCAAATTCAGAGATTTAAAAAGTACTAATACTATCAATTATTTGGAATCATAAGACTATATAGAAAAACACTGCCAGTATTTATGGTACTGAACTGGATAATCAACATATGATTTTCAAAATAACAAAAGTGAGAAACACTAGCAGGGTAAGGGGTGGGAGTGGGGGAGTGAGTGGTGGTGGTAGTTGAAATTTTGTTAGGGTTAGGCACACAAAAAAATAAGGTGGTCTCTAATCATCCAAGTACAAGGATTTTATAATGAAATTTGTTACACCAATTATCATTACAGTGAAGGATTTTATAACTAAACCATTTCTCAGTCCTGATGGAATACACACAAAATATGTGTGTGTGTAATGAGACTTTATACTAATCAGGTTATTAACAAGTGTGAGTCATCCTCCAGTCTAAAGGGAAAGCCATAAATTTATGCCTTAAGTTGTAAAAACATGGTCTCTATCCTATGTACAACTTGCTATATCCTAAGAGATTACTGGGAATGTTCCTTCAAGTAGACCATTTCTTTGTAAAATGAGATGTCTTCTCCCCCCCCCGTCCCCGCCCCATTAAAAATTAGTAAATGAGAAAATTTCAGTCTTAACCCCTAGTCACTAGAATGCTTCCCACTGCACCACCTGTTGTTACTTTCCTGGCCTACCACTGCCCTAGAGTCCACAGACTTCTATCTTCTTAAGCTGCCTGAGGCTAGAAAAGTGACTTTATTGGCTTTCTCAATCAGAATTCTATGTAGCACATTTTTAAGGTTTGTTATGAAGGTATAATGGGTGAAAATGCTGGCTCTTACTCTTCCATTCTGATTCCACTAGAAATAATTTTTTTAATTTATAAAACTGCTATAAACTTATATAAACTGCAAGTTCAGTTGTTCTTCTATAACCAGATGATACTGGATATGTGCATCTACTGTGTAGCCCTTTTCCTTCCTTGAACTTTTGTATTAATATTGCTGAAATGTGCTGTAATTAATATTTTAGTTCCTTATGAAAATCTGGAACCACTGGCATGTTTTGAAATAAGAGCTATACAATAAAGTTATGAAAATGAGAATGAACAACTTTGTAAGAGAGGTATAGAATACTACTGAAGAAAATAACTCCTTAAAAATTAAGAATTGGCCCAATGGAAGCTAATGATTCCATGAAACATCAAGAAATCATAAAACAAAGTCAAAGGAATGAAAAAACAGAACACTGAAATCTTATATGAAAAACAACTGACCTAGAAAATCAATCAAGGAGAGATAATTACCACAAGAAATCCATAAGCAAAGAAAAAGAACCTAGAAATTATAAAGAAAAACTGCTCAGATATCTTAGAAACAGAGGGCAAAGTAGGAATCAAAAGAATCGATCAGTAACCTCTCGAAAAAAACCCCAAAATGAAACTCCCAAGGAATCAGATAAATCCAGAAATCCCAGGTCAAAGAGAAAATACAGCAAGTTGCAAACAAAAAATAAAAAATTCAAGTACTATGGAACCAGTCAAGATCACATAACATTTCACAGTCACTACCATAAAGAAACAAAAGGGCTTGGAATATGATATTCTGGAAGGCAACAGATAATAGTCAAGAATAATCTATCCAGCAAAACTAAGTATAATCCTACATATGGAAGACTTTCTGGAATTCCTGATGAGAAGACCAGAGGCGAAAATTTGAAATTCAAACAAGACTAAATAGAAGCATAAAAAGGGTAAACAGAAATCCTAAGGAACTTAAAAAGGTTTTAGTGTTTACATTTTTATAGGGAGTGAAGATTCATATAAACCCCTCAGAACTTTAGAGGGAGTCTAATTAGACAGAGACAGCTGTGTGGCACAGTAATAAAGCACTGGCCTCAAACAATTACTAGCTGTGTGATCCTGAGGCAAGTCACTTCATCCTGTTTGCCTCAGTTCCTCATTTGTCAGATGAGCTGAAGAAACAAACCACTCCAGTATTTTTGCCAAGAAAACCCCAAATGGGGTCACAAAGAGTCAGACATGACTGAAACGAATGAACAGCAACAAAATCAGACAAGATCTGGGTGTGACTCTATAATATTGTAATGATCTGAATAAAAGAATGGAAGAGTGGGAAAGAAGAATGCACAAGGAAAGGGGAGAAGGAAAGAGGAAAAACAAGGAAAATTACCTCACATAAATGGGGTATACAAGGAAGAGTTTATACAGCGGAGGGGAGAGCAGTCAACATTTAACCTCACATCTGTATTGGTTCAAGGAGGAAAAAAGAAATATACAAATCTGGCAAAGAAATTCATCTTACCCAAAAAGTATGAGGGAAAGAGATTAAGAAAAAGGGGAATGGGGGAAAATAGAAGAGAGGGTAGATTAAGAAAGGTCATAGTCAGAAGCAAAAGAGATTCATGAAAGTAGAGGATTGAAAAAAAAGATAAATATAAGAATAGCATGGAGGGAAATACACTTAGCAATCATAACTGTGAATGTGATGAACACATTTATAAAATGGAAGATAGCAAAATGGATTAGAAACAAGAATCCCATAAGATGTAGTTTATAAGAAATACATCAAACAGAAAAATACACAAAATCTATTTTCTGAACCTTAAGGAAAGAAAGCAGGTGGCAACCACCATCTCAGACAAAGTTAAGAGATAAACAGCAAAACTACATTTTGCTAAAAAAGGTACCACAGATGATGAATATTAATACTGAACAAATGCAACAAATGGCATAACATCTAAATTATTGAAGGAAATGTTGAGAAAGTTACAGGAGGAAACAGAAAATAAATTATACAGAGAGGAAACAAAATATTAGTGGGGGACTCCTCTCAAATCCATATAAATCTAACCACAAAATTAAAAAGTTAAAAAGATAATTTAAATTTTAGGAACGTTAGTTATGACAGACAGATACTAATGGGAATGGAAAAGAACATACCTTTTTCTCAGCTGTATGTGGCACCTTCACATATATTAGGGCATAAAAACTTCACAAATGTAGAAAAGCATAATATCAAATATATCATAATGATCATAATCCAATAAAATACTATTCAAAAAAGAGCCTTTGAAGCACTGATTAAAAATTAACTGGAAACTAAAAAACCTAATCCTAAAGAATGAATGGATCAAAGAACAAATCTCAGGATCAATAATTTCATTAAAGATAATAGCAACAATGAGACAACATAGCAAATTTGTGAGATGCATCCAAAGCAGTGCTTAAGAGAAACTAAACACTAAACACGTTAACAAAAGAGTGAAAGATTAGATCTACAAAACAGGCATGCAACTAAAAAACCCAGAAAACACATTTAAACCACTAATTAAACACCAAAACAGAAATACTGGAAATCAAAGGAGAGATTAAAAAAATTCAAAGTTTTTTTTAAAATGAATAAAACTAGAAGCTGTTTTTAAAAAAAGATAAATCATTTGCTAATCTGGCTTAAAAAAAAAAAGAAAACCAAATTATCAGTACTGAAAATGAATAGGGGAATTCATAGGCAATAAAGGAACTAGCATAATTTTATTTCAAGTATTTCTATCATTGTGCCTATTTGGTAATTTTCACTGATGAATGATGAATTTAAGAATGATTAGAATTAATAAAATTTGTAAGCATAAGCCAAGTTATGATTTTATTAGTCTTCATTTTGTAAGGATTTTGTGTTTTAGTCTGTATAATTAGAATTTTTCCGAGGAAAAGCATTCATTTATATTTTGTGTATGTTCAAGAAACTTTCTGATTTTATATTTCATTTAGACTATACTTGCTCTCAGTTATCAAATTGCATGACGAGGTTTTACTGTGGTCAGTTTAATGCTGTATCATGGTTTTTTCTATGAAAGACCAGCTACAAATACTGTACTATATTTTGAAGCAGGTTTAAAATTACTTTCTGAAGGCATAATATTTTAATTAAAATTTAATTATAATGTTGTACCTTACTGTCAGTAAATTAGATCTTTTATATTTGGTAGAAGTATAAAATCATAAAAAGGTAAAAAGCATTTTACAGAACTAAAATTTAATTTGATAGTATATGTAACCCTCATGAAAGTGAAAGACTTGAGTATAGCTACAGTGAAATCATGTGCCATTTGTATTTTCTCCATGTAGTGCTGCTAAATATCAGAAATTAAGAGTGAGGGGTGGAGTAAAGGCAGTAACTTGCTTGAGCTCTCCCCCAAGCTCCTCCGAATACCTGCAAAAAATAGTACCTGTAAAAAATGGCCCTAAAATTCTAGAGCAGCAGAACCCACAAAAAAGACAAAGTGAAACAAATTTCCACCCCAAAGCAACCTGAATGGTTGATTGGAAAGGTCTACTGCACCAGGCTGGGAGAGGAATGCAGGTCAGTATGGGCACACAGGCAAAGACCAGGCCTCAGGGGACTGAATCACTAGTAGCTGTGGCAGTTTCCAGACTTCTCAACCCACAAAGGCCAAAGACAACTTAGAAGGTCAGTAGGAAAGGTCTGTGACCACACTGAGAGAGAAGCTGGGTGGGTCCTAGACTCAGTCCCAGTCCAGCATCTGCTTCTGGAGCTCTCAGCCCACAGACTGAGGGGGAATTGAGTGGCTGATCAGAGGGGAACTGAAGGGATCTCTTTGCTGGGGCTAAGGCAGGAATCTCTTTGCTCTGCCTGTGCTTAGATCTGGGTCACAGTTCTGGGTGGCAGTCCTGGGGCCAGAAGGGAGCACGGGCGTGGTGGAGCTTGTACTGATGGGACAGAGGGAATCCTTATCACAGTTTCAAGGCAGA